CCCCAAAACCCCAAAACCCCAAAACCCCAAAAGTAGAGTAGTCTAATTAATAATTATAGGATTTACAAGGATTTATATATAAATTCGCATAATATTTATAACTATGGGAAACTAAAGATCTAGAGAGGCATTTATGTGTCAAGGTAGCGATAGATAGAAGAGTGTCCGAAAGTTCAAGATAGATAAAGAGAAGAGATAAAAATTGCTGCACTCAAAAGATAGATTAAATCAGTTACTGATGCAGCATAGCCACAGACAGCTCCAAGACATTAAGGTAAGTTATTAGCTCATTTTTATTGACAGCCTGAGGAATCTCATTTAAAATTAATGAATAGGATTTATCACCTTTCGATTAAAGTCTCCAATTTATTCATGAAAAACTGTTTGACTCATGCAAGGATTGGGCTGAGCCATTGCTGCAGCAGTATTTAGGAGAGATGTCCAAATAGATAGATAGGAAATACTAAACATACAAATGGAATATTGAAGTTAATTTGTAAAAAGAAGTGGTAAAGACAAAAGCACTTAGATAGTGTGTATCAGACTCAACAAAGGCAGATATCTTTAATCTTTCTGCTTCATCAGGAAATAATGAGAAAGATGGTGGGAGAAATCAGTTAACAACAGTATTCAATGAGTTATCAGACAATGATGCCAATGAACTTCAAATTGTTTAGCAATCGATCATCTAAATTTAAAAAGTAGTAGATGTTTCGGATAATAATTTTGAACATACGAGAAATTTTTCGCCTAACTAGGACCAAACATACTCAATCGATTAAACTTACTTTGAGAATTAGTACCCAAGATTATACTCAAATGAAAAGACTATGCATTACAGAAGTCAAAAGAACTTTACAGTCGCAATAAAGCGCTAATTTTCTGCTGAAATTGCTGATGATACTTATAAAAGAAGAAGAGACAAGATTAAAACATTTCTAGAGAAAAAGGAAACCAATGATTTATTCAGGCGAAAGATTAAGATTATAAAAAAGCATTTAAGAAACACATAGCATCCTTTAAGGATACTTATTGATCTATTTGCAGTTGAACTCCACAAAGTAACTCTCTTTAAATCTACTATAATATCAAGTGATAACCACAGCAGTGAATATGCTAAATTAGGTTGCAAAAATGTACTCAAAGTTTCAGAGAGACTAATCGAAGACTAAAAATCAAAGCAAGTCAAGTTTGACAAAATAATTGAAAGCGTTTAAACTTTTATTTAGCTGTTAAGATCAGCTATTATAAGATTCTATCAAATAGACTACAATGGTCTAAAACTTGGTGTAAGAAATTACTTTACTGAGTAAGTTAAAGATCTTGTGCTGGGTTATTGAGTCTCTAAAATTATAATGAACGCTGCTACTGAGTCATTTAAGGATGATCTGATTGAATTTTAAAGAGGTTTGAACCTCTAGTCTAACATTGATCTTAGTTTTTATGGTGTAGACGACTAATATTATCTTGATGCTCATTTAATTAGGGAAAAGAAAAAATTGGCTAGGGAACAGCCAATCAGAGTGTTACTAAGCAATCTTGATGAGAAGTCAGTTTAATTTTAATTAATTAAGTATCAGGTTAACAAAAGCTAATTCAATCCTGAGTCTTAAAATTAATCAGTTCCAGCTAGATAGTCCGAAAAAAATCCAATGGGAAGACCCAGATTGCTTGAGAGCTTGAAGGATGAAACTGAGATTTATAGAATTGAGGACAACAAAACAGTGATATCCACAGTCACCAATCCTAAGTCTTCTATGCCAAAACCAAATCCTTATTAGAAATCTATAAAACTGCTTAAAGAACTTGAAAAAATTACATCATTAAGAAAAAAGAAATCACTTATTAAATATGTTTGGAATAAATTACAATAAGAAGTATATGAATACTGGAAATAGCATCCAGACATTGTATCGCTAGACAAGTAAAAAGTATTTGAAGATACAAGATTATGCTTAATGGCATATATCATAACTAAATCACAATGTTAGGATATCTTGGTATCCTTTAAAGCTCTTTCACCCTTTATTGACTAACATCAAATGAAGGATTCAATGCCAATGGCTACAGTTGAGAGTGCAATAAAAGTAATTATTTAGGATCTTTACTATGATCAAGAAGAGATAAAAGAAGATGATGGCTAGTATACTTAGTTAGATGTTTTTGGGTCAGAAAAGAATAGATTCATGAACATAAATGTTTCAAGCCCAGCTAATGCTTCTCTTTTGAGCAGAAGGTCAGTGGTTGCTTAGCAACCTCAAAGAAGAGAATTCTTAGATAAAATTTAGCATATTAAAGAAGAAAACTCTAAATAGGATTAGCAGCCTTAAGATCTAGAGGATGAGGAAGAAGAACTACATCAGAAGTTAAGAGCAGATGCCAAAGAGAAAAGAGACTAGCATATCAACAGTCTTAGAATGATGTATTAGGATGGAACATTCCTTTCTAGGAAAACATTTCAAAAGACCTCATAGATAATACAGCATTCCTTCAAATCATTTTTCAGGTACCCAACTAAAATGAAGAGGCACAATTCCAGAGAAAACTTTACTAACATACAAAATCAATCTAAGATAGTTGCAATGCCTTAGACCGATAAAAACTATCAATTTACTACTGTTTATCCTGAGTATACAGTATCTAGAGTTGAATAGGGTAGTTCTTATTCTAAGGACTACCCTCACTATAATCTTAACAAGTTTTCTAGAGTAAAAACTCCTGAAAACACTAGGAAATCAAGAAAATTTACTGATCAATATTGATATAACATCGAATAACAAAAAGAATCTTATTAAATTAAAGGATCAATATCATAATATGAATCGATATCTGCAAATAATTTATGAATTTCATTTACTTAATTTTCTAATCTAGTCGCGGGGTTTTGGGGTTTTGGGGTTTTGGGGAACACAAGTTTCATGTAAGCATG